CCGTGGGTATTCGCCGATGGTGAGGGGGAGATCGATGGAGCCGATGGAGGTCACCCGATCACCAGTGAAACCGACCAAAGGGGTTTAGAGGGGAGACAGGCTTTCTTCCCCAATCTTGAGCTGGCAGAAGCAGTTGAGGAATATGATGTCTGAAGAACTGCCGTTGTCGATGAGAACCCGTCTGACCTTATAGTTGGACAGGAGGGCAGAAAATGACGAGAGGGTTATCATGAGGATAACGGATGCCTGTACAGTCGGCGTCCGTGAAGGTGATGGGCTCTGTCCACTGCTTGGGCTGCTTGGAAGGTTGGTCTACCGTGTCCACTGCTTTGTCTGAGCCGTGTCTTATTTTCCTGAGCTCTGCCTTCTGAGCGGAGCGGGATGGTCCGCCACAAGCAAGGCCACCTGAAAATGGCTCTGCGATTTCACAATTGGCGCCGAGGGGATTACTGGTAGCCGAGCTCTTGTGGGGGCTCATGGCTTGGTTAGGTTGGCGTCTGGTCTGCCGGGTGGGGTACGTCGCGGTTTGTTTTTGAGGGCTCTCGGTTCTTTGCCTCTATTGTGGGCGGGTGTCCGTGAACCGACTGAGACGCCCTTGACGAATGAGGGTCTCGACTCCTTGAGGTTGATGCAGTCATCAGTGTTATGGCCATGGTCCTGGTGGAAATGACAATATTTGGACTGGTCTTTCCGATTGGAAGGGGTCTGTGAGGGTAAGGGCCATTGAGGGGGTAGTCCCATTGGATCTGGTGGAGGACTTGTTCCATGGGAGAATTAAGGGACGTGTATCGCTCGAACCGACGGGGCGGTCGGGCTGGTGCCAACCGGTCAGCGCGAGGAGGTCGGTCGGTATAGTGGGGTGTTTGGCTGTTATACTGGGTGTTTCTGGGTTCTGAGTCTTTTCTCTTTTCTTTGGGGGTCGGGTTTTTAGATACTGGATCCTGCCGAGCGGCTAGTGAATCTTCGGCATTCATGTATTTCTGGGCTTTGGAGAGTAGGGCTGCCATGGAGGTCGGGAGATTTTTGGAGAGGGAGAAAATGAAGTCGGACGATCGTAGCCCGGCCATGAAATCCGTGAGGATGACCTTGTCATCATTTTCCGCTACTTGTAGGGCTTCGGTGTTGAAACGGGTAACGAAACTGCGCAGCGACTCCCCCTCGGTCTGACGGATGTTGAGGAGTTGGGTTGCAAGGCGGCGTTGGCGCTAGGCTCCAATGAAATGGCTAAGGAATGAGTCGATGAGATGTTGGAAAGTGGAGATAGAGTTTGCTGGTAACTGGCTGAACCACAGTCGAGCTGACCCCTTCAGTGTCACGGGGAAAGCCCGATGCATGATCTCGTCAGGGAAGGCATGGAGGATCATAAGGGTACGGTAAGTCTCTAGATGGTCGACTGGGTCCGTCGTACCGTCAAAAGAGTCAATGGTGGACATCTTGAACTTGGCGGGCAGAGGTTTGTCCCGGATAGAGGCAACAAATGGTGAGCTTGCTGTGGTAGAGGGTTTATGCTGAATGTTCTGCATGACCCCTTGGAGCTGGAGCTTCATTGCTCGGAGTTCAGCGTCCTAAAGGGGAATGTGGTCACCATGGTCAGTCAATAGGGGCTGGACACTGCTGGCTTCCCCTTCAGGGGCTGGTGCCACGACCGAAGGGTGTAGGGGTGGAGGTGGTAGATTTATATGTGGGGGAGGAGGTTGCAAACCTTCCAAGTTGGGTGGATAGGGTTGCCGAACAGTATGGCTCGGGGCTCTTTCTTGGTTGGGTGGAATATCTGGAGGTGGTGGAGGAGGCATCGGAAGGTTTCTTTGGAGTAAAGCATTTATCAGGGCCTGATTTTGTTCGGCCATGCGGTTAATGCTGTTGGTAAAGCTTAATGATATACTGTGGTGGGTTGTTTGGATTGGGCGGGTCGGTTTGATGGTCGGCAGTATTATGGTGAGAAGCCATGGATCTAGTCGTGACCATACACTTGGATGGGTAGGATGAAAAGGTTGTTAGGACAGGGTCTCCGGCGACAATGAGCATAACTGGCGTCCGGATAAGAACCACTTCCCATAGACGGCGCCAACTGATAATACAGTTTGCTCCAGTGAATGGATCAGACTGGTCTAAGCTCCTCAAGCCCACGTCCAAATGATCAAGCCCCTCGGATGACCTGCAAACAAGTTCAACGGGGAATTGGGTAGTCCCTCAGTGAATCCTCCGACGAACAAGTTAGGAAGAGAAGTAGAGTGTAGAGAGAGAGATTAGAGATAGAAAAGCTTAACCTTCTACTTGTCTTCAACGTTTGCTTATATCCTTTGGTAATCATTTCGCTGTCCCTTCCGACCTGCCCTCCTCACCGAAAGTCTATGTTGTAGCTTACCTTGTTCAGGGTAAGGGGGTCCTGTTCCGACGGAGAGGTGTTGTCATAATAAATGCTGTGATGGGCTGCATTAATGGTGATGTGCAGTGGCAATAACTTTGCAGATCTTTGTCTGCTGATGTGGCCCGTCCTTCACCTGCCGTGTGCCTGAATGTCATTGGCTCTTTGTGCCATGTTGGACTCCAGCTGTCCTGGACCTCACCAGCTGGGTTATGCATTGGGCTCCAAGTGATGGGCTTGGATTGTTCATAGTGAATCGTGGCCTTTATGGCCTTATATACGTCAAGTATCAATATTGTTATATGGTATAACAAATAATGATTCATGAATAAAAAGTTTATTATAATGTGATTTGATATAGAGGTTTCATTTTAAAACAAAACATGTATAATTCATAAATATGAATTTATTTATAAAAATGACTATCATATTATTTTTGTGAAAAATTTTGCACGAAAAGAGTATTTTTATATAAAATGTTATTCACATGATGCTCGCAACTAATAATGTAACAAAAATTTTATGAATGAAACATGTTAGTTCACATTTGTTAAGTAGTTAGGATATCTCCAACTGTTCATCTTTTTTCATCAAATTTGAATAAAAATTTAATTTGATATTAAGTGCTCCGACAAAGATTTTGAAGGCTTCATCAGAACACCAATCAACCTGGTGAATGACCAGGCAAATGCCCAGCTGATTGACCGACTAGAGTAATTTTTTCACAAATTTTTGCCTTGAGGTTGTCATTCTAGGGGGTATCCGATGGTGAAAATCTAATAGATATGAACAATGATTTGATGAAAGGCGCATATATCCTCAATTTGATGAAAGATTTGAGAAATCCTAAATTTGATGAAAATTTTGGTGATAGACTGGAACAACAAAAAGTAAATTTTTTCATTAAATTTAAATTTGATGAAAAAATGATCTTAAAGACAAGATATGAGCCAACCTAACATATTTTTGTAATTCTTGACTATGTACACGTTAAACGATACTCTAAAACTATAACTCAAAAAAAAAAAATTAAAAATAAATCCTGTGTACCTAGTGACCACAGTATGTATGATATGGCGACAAAGGAACCTTCTGCATGTCCAAGCATTACTGTTTTTTTTTTTTTTTTAACTATCAATCATATTTTGCCTCTAGTAATTTTACTTAAAATGTTAATATCAAAAATATTCAATTGCATAACATCAAACAAAGTGAATGACGCACTAACATGGTAGACACAGAAGAAAGAAGTATTGAGTTTCGAAGTGGTTTTTTTTTATGGAAACCAGTCCAACACTGTGTGAAACCAAGATCACTTACCTCTCTCATCGCTTTCATGTTTAATTTATGCAGTTGTTTGTGTAAGCAAAAACAAACTCTTTCATAAATCAATAAAATATAAAAGAGGTAGTCTAGGTTCCAATTTAGGCAGGCCTAGCACACAAAAGATTAGGGGTGAACATGGTCCGGATTGAATCGGATTGAGATAAAATCAGGATCAATCCGTTATCTACGGTTTCTGAAAAATTGGAACCAATCCAATCCGTTTAAATCATGAAATCAATCCGAACCAATCCATTTAAATAAGGATTGGATTGGTTTAAGACTACGGATTCACATAATTAGATAACAAAAAAAATAAATATATATTTATAACACTTTAATTTCATAAAAATATAAATATAGCGTTATATTAGCTCCATAATAGCAACATGTTTTTCTATAATAGCGACATACTGTTCTAAAATTTAAACAACCATAAGAAAACTGATTTCACCATAAGTATTTAGACCATTATAAATTAAAACTAAAAACTAACAAACAAAATTAATAAAAGAAGATATTATACGATTTTAAGTTTGAGTTTAGATTTTATATAGAATAAAGAGAAGATATTATGGGAGAGGATGTATAATAAAAATATAGACTATTTGTATACAGTCCGGATCGGTTCCAATCCAGAACCGTGGGGTTCAATTCAGAACCAATCCGTGGACTACGGATTTTTAATTCTTCAATCCGCAACCAAACCACGGATTCAAAAACCAATCCAAACCTATCGAATTGGACTGGACTGAATTGAATTACGAATTTTACGGATTCCTTACTCAACTCTACAAAAGATGTCTATATTCCACAATATTACTTGCACTGATTGCCAAGTTTCTCATAGCCTCTATTCTCAATAGAAAAGAACAATAATGTGTAGTTGGATTGAATTTTTTAGATGAAATTTTTTGAAAACTTAATTTTTTATTTTTCATATTTTTTTGTTTTTAGTAAATATTTTTAAAATTTTAAATATTTTTTTATTTTTTTAAATACACCTTACTTAGATGTATCTAAAAAATAAAAAATATTTTAAAAAATTAATAAATACATAAAAATACAAAAAATATACTGAATTCTCATTTATTTAATTTTTTGATATTTAGGGAATTTTTTTTAAAAAAATTCACACAAATTATACTTTTTATATGTATTTATGTTAATTGTGTCTAAAAATTTTTAAAAAAATTGCTTAAAATATTTAAAAAATCCAGTAAAAATAAAAAAATACGTAAAATCAAAAAATAAAATTTTCTGAAAAATGTTTTTAGAAAACCAAAAACAATCAATGATATTTACATTCAAATTAGCCTCTCAATACTTTTATTTTGAAGAAACATTAACAGGTGAACATATTTTCTTATTTAATAGATTTTACAGGCAGATGCAACTTTCTGAGGCAATCAATGTGCAAGACGTGAATAATACATGTTTTGGCAACAAATATTGATTACATATCTGGTTGCAAAAAATCAATCAACAAAAGAGAATGCTTTCTCGACCATAAGAGTGAGGAATAGAAACCCGACAACAGAGATGCAGACTGCAACAAGCATAACCACCAACACGGCATGCAAAGAAATGTACGGGCTCACAAAAAACACAACTGCGATCGAAACGCACTGCCAAACCTTGAGCTGTGCAAATGCTCCTTCCTGTACACCCCAAAAGTAACATTTGAGAATTAAATGCAAGTGCATTTGCACAAAGAAATGACCAAGAAAACGTGAGGGCCAAATATCTTTAATATACTTGAATGAGAAATAAATTAGACATAAGTATGAAAAGCATTAAGATAACTCACATTATAAAGAAGAGTACAACACACAAAAGTCAATTTTCTCCTATTTGTTTAATTGTTCAATTAGGAGAACACTTGTGGAACCCATATCTTTAACTTTCCTAAAGGAATAAGTTTTCCTAATTTTCGTCAATATATGGAATTTACGTCTCAAGAATCTCAATATACCTTGTCTTCAACCATAAAACACACGTTTTCACAATTACATCCACTGATTTATTTATTTTTTATAAATAAATAAATACATAGTTTCATCCCACCTTCCTCTCAATTAGATCCCCCAAGCACAAACACCTCTAAGAAGATAATGTGTTGGATACACATCCAAATGTGTCATTAATTTTTTTATTATTTTTTTTTTATGTTTTTTAGATCTAGACACGCTTTGGACACATGTCCATCACTTATTCATATAATCAACTCAAGGCATGCACTTCTCGTGTCAACACTTGTGTGAAAAAGAGTATAAATCAAACTAAAAAAGGCTTAGTAAAACAAACAAAATAAATCACTACCATATCATGCTTAAAGAGCATCCCAAGCAAAGCATTAAGCTGTGTGTTGAATATTCCATCCCCAATTCCCAATGCGGCTGCCATGAGAAGGGGGTATAAAATGCCGAGTACTCCACTAGTTACGCTGCACAATGGCACAGTTAACAAGAACTGATAAAGTCATAGCAGCTTCAAATAAGATATATATAATTAAAAACTTTAGATTCTAAATAACTTTAATTAGAATCGACAAGAAACCTAACCTGTACTTCAGTAGAAGCCAAAGCAGTACAATTAACTGAATGAAAGCTCCAGCACAAACTATTAGAGTGATTGACTTGAGACCAGAGGTGAGTCGACCCATAGCCAGTGAACACTGACACATATTCCAGATATAAACTGAGTCTGAAAAACTTAATGAATCAAACAAATGACAAATTATAAAACAAAGATGGTTTTCCTGGGTTTTTAACTTTTAGTGAGCTTGAGGTGTAATAGTATTTACATCAATACTTCGTCTATAGATAGACATGTAGTAGTTTTGTATTTCATGAAAACCATACCTATGTTGGGTTTGTTTGAAAATCATGAGGAAACCTAGAGTTGGTTGATAAAAAAATGGAATTATTGTCTTTTGGTTGTTCATTGGACTAATTGTGGCGTAAAATAGCATGTTGTTGTTGAAATATAGAAAAGCCCTAATTTATATGTGTCATGATAAATTAAAAGAGGGGTTTTGTTCTTTGGGCAAATATATATATTTTAAAACCAAAGCTGTTGTATCACTACAGTATAAATGGAAGCATGGGATCTTGAAAAGGAGGGGTGTGGTTACTTGTTCAAATCTTACTGTGGCTAAAAGAAACAAAAATGAAAAACGAAAACAAAATCTTATAGGCTTTCAAGAATGATTCAACTTACTGTGATCATTGGATATTTTGAAAAAAGAGTAGGAAGTCAGCCCCTTGTGAGATTCTCATGGCGACCACTTGTTGGTCTACCATGCTTTTGCATAAGGGCTTTAAAGAGGCATTGAGACTAAATAAGATATTGCCAAGGATTGACAAAGAGAACATTTGGTTAAGAATTCTTTTGGTTGTGGTGAGATTAATATCCCTAAAATACCAATCAAATAAATAATCAAGTCCAACCTCACACCCTAGCACAACTAACAAGCTCTCCACCACCACTACTATGTCACGCCAAACATATGCCTCTTGGAAAAGAATGGTATTACCAACAATACAAGGTTGAGACTGAAAAAAGGGGCCCTGTGCTAACCGCAAGGACACTCTGAATATCTTCCTCTTTAGCTTTTATAGCACAATGGTACCAACAAATGAATGCAGCACTACATAGGATTAAAGGTGTGCCATTGAATATCCTTATTTATTTTTTCAATACAAGTAATTTATATATATTTTAATATTTTATTTGCTATCTTAAAAATATATATATTGAACACCCCAAGAAACACATACACTTCTTGACACTACTAAGAAGGTGTGTATCCGTGTTCGATGCATGTCTGGCACTAGCACTCATCGGACACTTTTTGACATGTGTTGGATTCTATATCAACTTTTTTTTTTAGACCTTGATACCCTTCGAATACTTGGGTAGCGGTGTGAAGGATTCGCAGAATGGAACGGTCAAGTTTGTCAACTTGACAAAATTTTCTAACAAAAGGAATGCGAAAAATGGGAGCCAACCATGTCGAAAACTCTATAGCTCTAATAATTTATCAAAAAAAAAAAAAAACTCTAGCTCTAATTGTCGACATGGCTATACAATTGTTTCCCACGGTTAGACAACTACTCCAATGGGGTATGCCACTCAAACCAACTAAGGGAAGTCATTCCTCTTGAAACTCTCTGCATTGATTGATTTCAAGACTATTGAATAAGGTTTGGGACCCTCGATTTTATCCCCTTTTTTTTAAATAAAAAAAAAAACTATCATTAAAACGTCCACCAAAGAAATTATTAAAGAAACAAAAGAAAAAGGGAAAGCCTCCCTTAGCCAAAGAGGGGGGGAAAAGGAAAAAAACATCATTCACTTCATAATAAATAGGACTCTCCTCATCTTTCTGCCATCTTTATTTTTCAGTGCTAACTTATAGCTAAAATTGCATTAGAGATGCAAAAGAGAAATTTAACATTAAATAATTTTTTGGTACAATGAAGGTCAGAGTTTCTCGAGTGTAATGCAAGCATTAATAACTAAATCTATGATAATGAACTGGTATTGGTAATACAACAAACAACATAGAAAAATATAGGACATGGATATCCGCTTGGAATCACAAGCATGCACATACCGTTCCATCTTTCAATAGAACAAGAGACATGAGGTTTCCAACAAACTGCAAAATTCAATAAAAAATGAAGATTATTCCAGATGCACAACATCCATACAAAACAAATTGAATATATTCTTATTAGAACCAAAGATCATTAAAATTGTCATCAAAAACTAAAATGCAGCACCTGGTGACCTGCAAACATTCCCCAAAATTCTCCATTGAAGTTACCAATCACGTTTCCTTCTTCTAAGTTTAAATCATGTGCATGACTGCGTGCTGTAGATGTAAGATATGTACCCTGATGGACTATAATATCGTTAGGGAAAAAGTAATGTACTTATTACATCATCAAACACAACAAAGTGATGAACCGAATCTAAAAGATGGACTTGTACCTCCGCAACCCATATTATTGAAGCAGAAAATCCCATGTACAAGGAAGCTGGAACCATCGTGTACCTACCACAAGAATATTCATTTTTAAGTATATACAACTTCATCAATTTGATGAACATAATATGGCTCTGTCAAATATGTGTCCACATCATTATTTAGTACAATATTGACAAGCATAAGAATGTTGTCTTGAGTCAGAGAGCAACCATTTTGCACAAATAGTGGAAAGACGAGGTCTACATCTAGTCTTACCCTCCCAAGTCCCAAACAACATGGACTTTTAGTCTCATGAAATTCACTCAAACATTTTGGGAGCAGCTCCCCTCAAGACTGAACCTCTCCATATCTCTCAAGACTTCATTTTGCGGGTTCCATATAGCCAAGGAAGGTGATCCAAACCGCTCATCTTGTATGCCCAATAGAGTAGAACATATATGCAAAAATTAACTTTATTGAATATCGATAAGCATACTAACTTATCATATTTTGTCTTATTAGATCAGTGGTTTTTATTTAGATTCAAATGTACCATCCATTTCATAAAATGAAACACACGATTAGTTTTTTTTTTTTATCGGCATGAACACAATTAGTTAGTGTATCGATCAATGTCTAATCAAGCTAAATTTTTATAAATATATTCTTCTCTTTGACCTACGAGATGAACGGTTCGATTCACAAAACCATGGAGCCCACAAAATAGAGTCTTGAGGGAGTATGGAGAAGATGTAGTCTTGAGGGGAGCCTACTCCCCAACAATTTGGGCTATTTCATCACCTATCAGTGCAAAGGCACAGTCGCAGAAAACTTAAAAAACACGTTTGTCCTCAACTGAATTAAGACAATATATCAATGGTGAAAAAATTGTTACCATGTGGGCTTCAAATTCGCTGCTATGAACAACCAATACCCAGTAGTCCCAAGAACAAGAGCATTTTTTGTACCCAGAAACCGAACCACCAATGAAGCAAAGAAAGAAAAAACCATAAAAGACGAATACAATATCCCGAGCGAAATTGTCCCTAAATCTTCCTCCTGAAACCCAAATTCAAAGTCTAAACCATCAAAAAAAACATAAGCAATTGGTCAATTTATGTCTCATCAATCAAATTTAGAACTCACAGTATTGATTGTACTCTCCAGATTCTGAACAGCACCATAAGCCAAGAAAATCAACAAGAAAGCCGAGCTCAGAATATGCACATCTCTGGTATGGTTCTTCTTCGTTAGGGTTTGAGTTTCGGAGTTCTCAGCAACTAGTGGTGCTTCTTCTTCTTCCATAGCTTCTGAGAAACACTCCAATCAATTGAATTTGCTACGAGAAGATCGATTGAAAACCTATAAATGGTTGGTGGAGTGTATGAGAGAGAGTGCTGACGAGAGTGGATTAAATCACAAGATATCTGATCTGAGAGAGTGTGATTATTTTATAGAACGAATCGACGATTCTGAATATGAGACGCAGAAGGGGAAGAGAGAGAAGGAGGAAGAGGGACCGGAGGTGCATTTCTTTAATCTTGTTTGGTTCCTGAGAAAGTAATGGAAAAAATGAAAATGTTGATGGGGGTGTCGTTGTTTTGACTCTTCTCTTCAGGTTCTGATTGGCCACTTCTCTGAAATACAGCATTCGTTTGGATGTGGTTTTGTTTTAACCCCCTTTATTATTATTATTATTATTTACGCCTTGTTTGGTATATATTAAAAAAAATTAAAAAGTCAAAAAATTATTATCTTATTTAAATCATATTATCTTATTTAAGTCACATCACTTCTTTATCACATCATTTTAAATCCAACCCATACCTAATTCATATTTCATAAAAAGTCAAAAAATACACTTATTTGGAACATCTCAAACCATCCTTTAGGCCTTATTTGGAATTGACTTTTTTTAGTAATATTTTAGCTTTTGATTAAAATATGATGTAAAAAAAATAGTATGTTTAGAATAATTTTTTGATTTTTTACGAATAAATATGCAAAAAGTAAAGAGAAAATATAATCTTTGATTTTTTAATATAAGTTGTTGGTTTTTTTATTTTTTTAGTGACTTTTTAGCTTTTAGGCTAAAAAGTAATATTGTCAAACGAGACTTATGGGATTAAAAGTCTTATTTATGAGGGGGTCTTTTGACTTTTTTTGATTTTTTCGAAAGAAAAAAATAAAATGATTATGATTTAGATATGACAATTTGTCTTATTAATTTTTTTTTAGGGACTAAAATAGCTTGAAACTAACATTCCAAACACAGGTTCGAAGAAAATAAATGAAATTATCCACTTTGTTTGTTTCTAATTTTCAAACTTCACTTTTCAGAAAATTATACTTTTTTGTCTTTCGTATTTTTTTTTTGTTTTTACTGAATTTTTTTAATATTTAAAGCAATTTTTTTAGTTTTTAGAAACACCTAACATAAATACACTTAAAAAGTATAATATTTGTGAAAAAAAATCTTTAAAAATTCACTAAATACAAAAAATTCAAAATTCAAAATTAAAAAAAAATTCAGTACATTTTTTATATTTTGTGTATTTATTAATTAAAAAATATATTTTTTCACAAACAATTTATTATTTAGATACATCTAAGTAAAGTATTTTCTCATTTTTAAAAAAAATTGCTTAAAATTTAAAAAATATTCACTAAAAATAAAAAATACGAAAAATAAAAAATTCAGTTTTCAAATAGCTAAATCCAAAAAACTAAAACCAAATATACTGATTGTATTTTTTATTATGATGTTTGGATGGTTAAAAAAATTAATTATGTAAAAGAAATATATATAAGTGAGATTTTGATTGTTATTGTAATTTAGAAATAATTTTGGTATTATAAATATTTTACAATCAATTAGCTTGTTTATCACTAAAGCTCATCATTTTTTTCCTGTGAGAAATTAAATAGTCTTAATAAGATATTTAGCTCCGTTTGGTTTAGTTTTAGAGTAATAATTTGAGTGTAAAGTTGTTATAAACACAAATTCGTATCCTACAATTAAGACAGGAAATAAATACACAAATAATTAATTTGATTTATTATAATAAATGCATACAATCCTTTGTAAATTTGCTATATTACAAAATAACAAATCCTCTATTCGATGTCCGAAATAGTTGTAATTCAATGGCTGTAAAAGCTTTTTGTTGAACTAGACAAGTTGATAAATTTCTTCAAGTCTTTGAATGTAGAAACTAGAAAAAAAAAAAAAAAAAGGCTTGATTGAATGTTTGAACGGCTTGATCTTAAACGATTATTTAAATGATCTCTTTGGAAGAATAGACCAAATTTGTATTTATAACTTGAAAAGACTGGCACATGTTTGAAGTGTTTGATAATCCTCTCTTTTTAAGTTTGAAGAACTTTGGAGAAAATTTTTAAAAGATAATTTGACAAGTCTTGAGATCATTTGGGAGGTTGCAAGACCATTAGCCTAAAACAATGTCTCATCATCAACATAGTAAGAGCCTCCATTTATAAGTTTAGGAGAGAATGGTTAATTTTGAAAACTCCAAAATTGATTTTAATTTCTAAGAAAATAGCAATTTATTTTTTTATTTTATGGATATGATTTGCATTTAAATTTGAATTATTCTACCAAATTTTGACAGAATATCTTCGTGAGCCCCACGCTTTTGGATTGACTCAATTGTCAAAATATGTTCACTTTTCTTTTGGTGTGACCCGTTCACTTACCCCCAAAAAAAAAACCTGTAATTTAAAATGGGTTAAGATTCACAATTTTTATTGGATTCACATCTATTTGAAAATTTTGACAATCTTAATTTTGGCCAATCAAAAATTTTTTTTTTTTTTTTTTTGTGTGTCTTCATTGTATTTAATTTTCTGTGTTTTCACAAAGTGATAAAGATAACATGCTTGTGCCGATTTCTGGGAACCATATACCATAGTGGAGATTTGATGAGGCATATTGTCTGTTGGTTTCAACATGTAACATAGCAAAAAAGAAAGAAATTAATTTGTCAACCAATGTGAAGGCACACTTTTCTGGGATTCCTCCATTGATCAAACCCCACAAAAGAGAAAAAAAATCAATTGAATGTGTGGCCCCTAGTCTCTCACAGTGACCCTATCTCTTCACTAATGCCCTCTATATAATCATGGCTTCCATTTTTTTTTTTACAAGTCAAAAATCCATCCCATCATCATGTCCTTCTCCATCCAAAAGTATTATTAGCTTTTTCTAAACATTTGAATTACATTGCTTCCCTAGAGCCATTTATAAATATTTTTTTTAAGGATTCAAATACTCTATATATATATATCTAAGTCATAATAAATTATTTGGTCAATACTTAAAAAAATAACAAAATAGTTTTTTTGAAAAAATTAAAATATTAAAAAATATCTTTCTTCGAAAATAAAAGTCAAAAAAATATTTTCTGAAAATATTATTTTTCAAAAAAAAATTGAAAGAATAAAATAAAATAAAATAAAAATTAGTAATTTTTTTAAAATAGAGTTATGAAAATAGTTTTGAATTTTAGATTTTGAAAAGAGTTTTGAATTGAGTATTTGCTTATGAGTTTTTAATTTTTTTTATTAGAATAATAATTTCCAAATTAAACCATAAGCTACCTTTGGCTTCGTTTGGGAAGTGAGTTGGTTTTTGGCTTTTAAGTTTTTATAGTTTGAGGCTAAAAAATCTCGTTTGGATTTACAATTTTTACTATTGTGAAAAATAAATGAAATTATTATGATTTAGATGTGACATTTTGAAATATTTTAGCATATTTTGTATTTTTATAACTATTTAGCCTCATTCCAAGCAAGGGCTTTGTCTTTCCTACAATTTTTTTTATCATTTCTTATAATCTGTTTGGGAACATGTTATTTTAGTAATTTTTTAAATTTTTTACTATAATATGAGGTAAAAAAATTAGGGTAAATTACAAATGCATTCCCTGAGATTTAATTAAAATACAAATCGCCCCTGTGGTTTTTGAAATTACATTCCACCCCATGAGATTCCTAATTTCATAACATATCATCTATTTTATTAATAAATCGTCAAGTCAATTAACAGTTTTTAATGATATTATAAATATGTTTCAATTAATAATTTAGATAATTTTATTATTGTATAGGAGAGCAATTATGAATTTCATTTTTTTAATTAATTCTGTCAAATAAAAAATACTAACAATGAGGTATTTGTAATTTTTTAAATCACAAGAGCAATTTATATTTTAAGCAAATCTCATTTGTAATTTACCCAAAATTAGTATGTTTTGGATACTTTTTTAAATTTTTATGAAAAAATGTATAAAAGTAGATAGAAAGATAATTTTTTAACTATTTTATTTTTAAACTAAAAAATTGAGCTACGAAATGAGCCATTAGTCAACCTATAATCCAAACATAGAAAAATAGTTCATTTCTCAACATTTCTTATCAAATCACCCCATTTCGAACACTGTGAGGATGGATGAAAGTATTTATTTATTTTTTTCTTTCAGTAGAATGAGAATTAAATAAAAAATTTGTTCATTGAATAGATAGGCACGGTTGACATGTGTTAAAATAGATATTATTTTAGCACATTATCTTATTTTGGTCATAATCAGCTCATTTAGGTCATATCACCTCTCTGTCATCACTTCAAATTTAACTTATATTTCATTTTTTTCGTAAAAAGTTCAAAAAATATAATAATTTAGTACATGTTAAACACCCTATTATAGAAGTAGTTTTATTCAAAAAATATTATGCTCTTAAGCTAACAATTTCTTTAAAATTATCCTTAAACCAGTATTAACCATTGACTAGGTTCCTAAAAAAAAAATTTATTTTTTATTATAATTATATTCCTTCCCGTCCCAAAATGTTAGTTTTTTTTTTTTAGAAATCGATTTTTTTTTAGTAGTACAATTATTACATTTTAAAACTACCATTAGGTAGTACAATTATGACATTTCAAAAATATTATTGTTAATAAATCTAAAAGAATGACAAAATATAAAATTCATGTTATTTTAGTTATTGATTTTTGAAAAAAAAAAAACTAATATTTTGAGATAATAAAATATGATAGGATTAATTTTTTTAAAAAAATCATGGTTTCACGCATTTTTCACTTTGAACCTCAGTATTTCAATTTCGACAAATTAAACCCTAAAATTCCATCTATGTTCCAATTTGTCCTCTCTGTCTATCTCCATTTGTGTAGAGTAATGGAGGGGGTTTAAAGTGAAAAAATGCGTGAAATCTTGAAATTTTGTATGTAATTAACTATTTTTAAAAAATTAAAATCACTAAAAACAAAAAATGGTTAATTACAAAATAAACTCTAAGGTTTCACGCATTTTTTACTTTAAATTCCAATGTTTTTCATTTTAAACCCCCTTAAATTGAAATACGGAAGGAATTTCAAAATTTAATTTGTGGAAATTAAAACACTGAAATTTAAAATAGAAAAATCATGGAATTTTGAGTGTTTTTTTTATTTATTTATATATATATATAATTAATCCAAAATAAAATAAGAACTAATATTTTGAAACGGGAGGAATAATTAATTTAAACTTGTAATATCGTATAAAAATAAAAATCACCGGTTAATTGGACCTATTATAAAATGGTATTCAGATAATTTCCAGTA